CCGGATAAGCGCGCTCTTTATTACCAGGACGTATCCGCGCGACCTTATTAACTTGCTAACCATGACGTCACCAACTCATTAACGAGTTTCCAATATTACTACGATTTCAACCGCGTCTGTACTTTCACCTTCCGTTGCTTTCACATCTCTTGTTTAACAAGACGTGAAGGCTGAAGTTTAGATACACATACGTAATTGTGACAGCAATCATTGCGGCGTACTCAATGCACTTATGGGGAATGTCTATAAAATATTCTGCAAACAGAGAGAAAAATTCGAGATAGACAGTTTCAAATCAGCAATCCGTGAATTTCCAGGGTGAATTTTTATGCTGGTAGTTACGATGTCCTCTTCATCTCTCGTTCCTTGTTGCCCTAAGGCTTAGGGCCTAAGCTATATTGCTCCTACTTTTTTAATCGACAAATAAGATTTAAGAATTACAACATGAGAGAACGAGAAGAAAGGAAGAAAGGAACTCAATTCGTAAAATAACGCTTCGAAGCTTTGTATTGGGCCTGAGATTTGATCATTTTCCAAGACATATCGTCTGGTCATTTTTTTCCAAGTCGTATCCACGTGCGTTTGCATCGGCATTTTCCGATCTTGTCGTTTTTGTGTGTTCGAATCTAATAGTGGTTGATATTTGCATTTAATCTTTAATCGCCTCTTTTTTTACAGATGATAGCAGTATTAATTCCTTTTTTATATCAGTCATAGACAGTAACTTATCGAATCATTAGTATTCATACAAATTCCAGAATCATAATTACAATATCACCGGTGTCCGAACTAATCCAATTATTGACGAACGAGAAAGTAATGATACGTTGGTTAATACGTATCATAAAATTCATGAAATATATGTATAAGCGTAATTAGCGGCTGTTACGCATTGCTTTTTAAGCAAATGCACGGACGGACAGGTAGGAAGAAAAATGTATCCCCTAAGATTCCGTAAACGATATCTAAATATAGGTTCGCTCTCCTTATAATTAACGAGATAGTGCCGTGAAGTACCTGTTACCACCTGGTGGCGGAGCGGCGAGAGGGGTTGGTGGAGCACGCGCGTATACACCCTCTTTCGAACAGCCCTGTCCGCATTCTGTAGAGATTCTACGCTGCGACGTGGGTACGCGCGCGCATTGTGCTCGCCGCCGAAGGGCAGACAGTCGACGAGCGGGCTAGTGAGCGATTCCTGCTGTACCTTTAGTTTCTTCTTCGTGTCCTGCCCGTTCCGTTTCTTTCCCGGCTCGTGCTTACGTACGGCTCGCTTCTCTCCCGGTGCTTCTTTCCTCCTCCGGCTAACTCTTACCTACCTACCCTTCGCGATTACAACGCGAAGGCAAACACAACGTTGATTTATCTGCCCGGTGCCTTCGAGGATGTGCGCGTAATTTACCGCGACTTAATTGCATTTAATTCAAGCGGCGCAACTGTAAATCACAAAGCGTCGCGCATTGCGCGCGTCAGTCACGCCTGCTGTCGATACAATGTAATTACATCTATCAGCGCTGGTCGCGAGTGGATCCTCCGGCGGCAGAACACGCCGTGGCGGTGAACTCGGCCCAAGAAAATGTGGTAAATTCGTGTTACGAGACAGCGGGCACATATGTAATACACAGACGTTACACATGCTCACTTTTACCTACTCCTCGTGTCTCGTGCGTGCACGCGCGTTCTATTTTCTCCTGGTTTTATGTCAATTTGCTTGGAAATGGACGTGCAGGTTCCTCGCTCATTCGTGCATGCGTCCCTTATGTAATTAAAAATCGCGTCTTCGTAATCGGGACCGAGAGTAAAGATACCTTGCGACTTCATTGCAATATATAATTGCACCGATGCATGTAATTTACGGTCCCCGGCCAAGTAAAAACATATTTTTCTTTAATCATCGTACGGTTATCAGAAGAATTATACACTCGTGCTTTGAGTAGGGTAATTAAGAGCGTAAGATCGCCAGTTACTTTTGTATCGCGAAACGCTTCCTACGGTGTATGTATCTCATTTCGTTTGCAACGAGGTGAATTCCGCTATTTTTAGAAATTGGAAGGTATGATTAACTCTGTGTCGGAAATATTTACTCGCCTCATTCTTTCTGATGGCTAGCACTGTACCTACCATGCATTGGTCAAATGACACATTAAATTCTTCTAAATATAAAAAGAAAATGAAAATTTTGTCGTGTTTGAACGTTTTGTCATGAAGTTGAAATTATTATTTAAGCTGTTATCAAACTGAAATAAAAGTACGAAGACTAAATTGTACTCAAATGTAAAAAATAGTACATTAGTGTGTAAAGGATTGTCGGTAGCTTTGGTGTCCAACCAATAGTTTCAAGAATTTGCATAGCGCGGAGAGTAGCGTGTAAACCCGAATTCATAACAATTTCAGAGTTCATTCGAATTTCGAAAAGGATTCCAATCGGGACATGTGATGTTATTTTCCTAGAAGAACTAATCCATCGAGGCTGCCTCGCTCACCCCGTTTTGATAAGACCTGCAACGCGGAGCGTTCAATGAAGATCGCAATAGCGAACAACGACGACGTTCAATGCGCGCGCTTATTAAATTTGCATATCGCAATTTATAGCACGTAGTACCGAGCGTCCATCTTCGATCACGATAGTATTGTCCCATCTGGAAAAAAAATCCAGAATCCATTCCGACGTGCAAGCAGAGGAGAAAGAAGGGTGACTGAGGAGGGTGGGTGGGGCAGGAAGCTCGAACTCTCTTGATGAGAACAGGTTGACCGAAGAGTCGGGGAAAAGAGACCAAACCGACCCGGCCCTCATTGATATTTCTTTTTGCAACGAACTGGCGCGCATTATTCGCGGTTTCGCAGTCGTGGCCCGCGCGCGGCAAGCGTGCGACAATAATTTCAAGGCGGTCTCCTCGTAAATCTAGTCGACAAACTGGTACCACACCTTTGCGCGAGCGAAATTCTCTTATGGGCAAAAACCGACGAGATCAGCAACCAATAAGCGATCTCACGGGCGTTACCAAGTGTCTAGAGCGCACGTGAATGCACGCGTCGTGATACGCTCGAATGGACACGTACCTTCTCAGATGTATCCACGTGTGCGAGTTTCTTTTTTTATATATATGTACATATATACACGTACAAGTACAGTGGTCACTCAATTCGACCAGTAAAGCACCAACTGTCACTTAACGCCCGGGGCACTACGAATGCAACGCCGTTATCTTTTACACATTCGATTGGGACTTGCTCTACTTTTTAAAAGGAGAAGCTCGGCGAAAGTACGAATGCTGTACTCATTCACGTTTCATACGTAATAAACTTGTGAACTTTGCTCACACATATTTTCTTATAATTGAGAATTTACTACAATACATCCTTAAATGCCTTTGCTATTAGCTTAGCTGACCTTTGTCATAATTTGTCTATTACACTATTTCGTATGTTCGCTGTCAACTTTAATTCATCTAGCTTTGTTTCATGACCTTTCAATTTCAAGCAGAATAGCTTCTTTACAAGTTAAAATCTACTGCGCATCGTATGTATATTTAATATTATCATGAAACGCACTACTCTCCGATTACAACAGACACTTAGTTGTTGGCTACGATTTATGCTGAATGGAAAAACGTATGACATCAGTCTGCAGATAGCTCAATTAGATACAGAGATTTATAAATAGTCGGACACCTGATTCGTTAAAATTTCAAATCATCAGCATTATTATCCCGCTATGCAATTAAATAGAAGCACCTTTAAGAGATTTTTTTAATCAGTGAGATGCAATATTGTAACATCAATTTATCGAATAAGTACCCGCGTCGTATTAATTTTCATTGGTTAATTGAGATCCTCGTCATAAGAAACATAAAATCTGATATTAGATTTGTTGGTTGAACAATCGCGCAACATTCACTTTCGTTCATTACGATGTAAAAGGGAAACAATAAGTTCGCGTTGTTCAATGCCTATTAATATTGCAATCTAGTAAAAAATTTCCATCTTGACACGATTCATCTCTCTAATTTCTTCCCCTTCACCATCGCGCTACATACGTACGTACATAAGTACGTAGCGGGAATCATTTGCGCGAGTCATTATTTATGATCGAACATGAAATTGTTCGCGTCCCACGCTTTCATACGGACTTACCTTAACGTAGCCATAATTGTCACATAACTTGATACTTCATCTTGTGTCTTAATACATTCTACTCACTCTCTCTTTCTGTTGCTCCAGCTGTTGCCACCGTTTGGTCCGTTCGCGATGCTAACTTCCAAGCTCGAAAGCTTGTTTGAAGAATGGATTTACATAAATTGTACAATATACATGGATCCGCGTACGCTGCGTTTGCCTTATCGCAAATTTGGCCAAATAACAGATCTTGTATCCCGTAAATCAAACAATAATCGGTTCTATACGCGATACATTTCTGGAATATCGCCCAAGTTGGGAGTCACATTTGCATTCAGACAAATTGTCCATTCGTCAAGGCTCGAGGCGTTGTAAAGGATTACAATATCGATGGTGTAACGAACGGTGCGCGGATCGCGAAATATCATTAGTGCGCGCAGTGGCGTAGAACGAAAACGCGGAGGGAATAATTCGTCGAACGCCGAAGGAAACGTAGGCGGCCCCCGGTACCATTTGTTTTGCGCGAACACCGTACGCGATAGGACAAGCTCTATCCGTCTTGCCGGGATTCTTCTTCCTTTTCCTCCCGTGCGTCGTTCCACGGCGACCGAGCCTCGGCTCGAAACTCTCCCGAGATAGCCGCCGGCATGGGAGTCGAGGAGAGTCCAGTTCGGTTCAGAGACAGAGCACGCGACGCGATGGTATCGCGTAGCCAGGAATTAAATCGATGATACACGGAGGACACGCTTCTAAATTATACGCGAAACCGGTGCCCGGAACACGCTGTCTTGCACAAAGACGGCGTGCGAGCACGATTCAGAATACCCGGTCACCGCCGCCGCCGCCGCCGCCGCCGCCGCATTGTGGAATTTATCCGCGTAGGCGAATTTTGACGTTCCCAGATGAATCGAGCTTTAAAGTATCGCGATAAACGACGAACGGGATTCGCCATGCAGAAACGGGTCAACGAGGTTATCTTACACAGGGATAAAAAAACGTGCTCGGAATGCGATTTTTAATATGTATAGAATACGGCCATCGATCTTCAACTTATTTGCTCTGTCAACAAGAGAAGTAGAGGCACAGACCTGAATTAAATACAATTTCATATACTCATTTTATAAATACAATATCTTCTACATTTCTATTACATTTTGCTAACTGCAATAATATTTCATAGAGAATTCTCTTCAATTTTTTTGATAATTTTATTTGTACAATACTCTTTCATAATGTATAGAGGAAATAAAGGTGAGAAGCTAATTATCGAATTTTACTACATAAAATATACTACGCTTACTGCAACGATATTTTACACATAACATATTTTATCATTCAGACAGCGATTTATATGCACATGTACATTAGATACCTGATAGAAATCCTTAGCTTCTGCTTGTGCATACATAATTAACGATATTGATGACATTCTACGATGAAAGTCGCGGTCATCTATCACTCTGCTCGTCAATCTTTATCGACCGAGGAAAGCAAAACAAAACGCGATGCAAAGATGAATTTATTCGAAAATTAAGTGATGCAATCTCACCTTATCTTAAGTGCTATTGAATGTAGCTATATTATCATTATTTAAGCAATACGATCAGATAGCTTAGGAATTTAAACTACCGGTTGATGAAATCATTACTCGAACAATTTTCGCAACAAATAGTATGGTATACTTTCCTAGGTCTATTTTGGAAGTGTATTAATTCTACTCAAATGATAGATCTTATGTATATCCATTACGGGATCATTTTTAAGTAGTTATTCTTCTCAAAGTTCGATATTATTTTTATTTAATCTTTAGCAGGAAAAACAAAGTGACGCAAAGTTAATATGTACATTTCAATCTTCCGTTCGCACCTGTCGGAGTGTACCGGATGCCGGTCAGACAACAGCGAGTGCACTGAGTATTAAAGGCATCAAGGTGTCCATGTACCTTTAAGCCTACTTAATCTTAAGATTCGCGTTCTGCTTTAAATCTGAACCCTTGCCTCGAATTGGATTATTCATAAAAATTTTACAAGAACAAGATATATCAATTTATGGTGACAAACTATTGTGATAGAGTGTGATAATCTAACGCACATCGGACATCGCTTTAATAGACTCGTTTTATTGCCCAGTTTGGTCAACAAGCAATTTCGAGTCGGTAGGTAGACCAAACCCGGTCCTATCTCAAGCTGTTACGAGCCTTTTGAACAGCGCGTCTACATCTCAAGTGGAAATAAATCTGCCAGCCTTCGTAACTCTTTCTACCACTTCCCGCCTTTGCCCGAAAAAGGGGTCCTAGTCGTAAAATGCCTTAATACATTTAGTGTGTCGAGAAAATGTTCTCGAAACACGTGTTGCCATTAAAAATTTTAGTGAAGTCAAGAAATTAGAGGTAATGTAAAGCAGCTTACTGCCTTACTTGTTTACGAGATTGGAGGAAACGAACGATCTCATGAATATCAATATAAAAAATAGCTATTGATAATTATATAAACCCTCTTATTACTTTTCTTCTTAATACAACCGCAAAAAGATATAAAACTGCATGAAATTGGAAAGCCTGCAATTATCCCCAAAATTGTCTTCCGACAAGCGATGTTATAAGCGAGGTAACGTTCCAGTACAGAATCGAAGCGTTGCACCAGGGGCACTTTTCTTTCGAAAACCTTATGACGCATGCGTTTTCCTTTAACGAGCAGACCTTGATGAAACCTTGAGCGGCGAGCCAGGTGGCATCCTCCAGGATTCGATCGATCCCTCGACAGTGCGGTGGGTACGACCTTGTCCGTAGGTGCTCCGCGAAGTGGAAGGCGGCTCGAGCTAAAAGGGTCGATGACGAGAGAGTTCGGAAATGCGCGTCCCACGTAGGTGAGTTAGTGCATAGCCATCCTTCCTCGCCGAGTACAATCTTCACGCATTCGGGTTCGGTCTCTACGGCAGGAGGACGAAGCGAACAGAAATTGAGGGGAGAGAGGCCGGATGGATAGTGGTTCAGCAGCAGCAGCAGCAGCAGCAGCAGCAGCAGCAGTAGAAGGTGAAGAGGAAGAAGAAGAAAGAAGGGCCGGGCGAAAGCTCAGGTGTTCCGTTTCTCGGGCCACGGACTCATCCGTACGACGCGACGGTTTGGCGAACTCGTTGTTGGTGAACCGACGCGACGGTTCACGATATCCGTTCTCATCTTCGCCCCACTGGTGCATCTCGCGTCCGTCTGCACGCCCACGCTACCGGAGGACTCCTTAAAGTCCTACTCACAAGCAAAATACTTGCGGCTATCAGTTTGCCTTGCCAACCAGTTAGCGACGATTGATTTATATCTTCTTTATTTTTTTCCCTCTTTTCCTTCGTGCTTTTACTTTTCCCTTTGTTCCTTAGTGCTTCTACATTAGATAAATGTGTTATTCTCGTAGAGAGCAGTGTTTATGATAATTCATGAATTTGAAATGGAAAATTAAGATAAGACGATACATCAATATTATGAGAATATTTATTTTATTTATAATTCCGTAACATTTTATAATGATATTCACAATACATGAAAGTATGATGTATAATATAGGTATTAATTGTGGACTTATAATATTACATTCTATAATCTGTAATTTGTGTATGACCAAACTTGATGATGAAGTGAATGAATATTAACAATTTAATACTTGAAATTTGAGATATTGCATATATCATAATTAAAACAGGAGTATTAGGCAACGTGAAATGTTATCACGTACTTTGCAGTAATGCAACAAGAACAAATTCTTAGAAAATCAGTAGAGCACGTGCTTTTGCGTTTGGTAACAGGCTAACAGGTGAATTTACGTCCTAGCAGATTCCATTAGACTGCAGCGCTATAGAATTGTGACACAGCTTTCCTCATTGGTATGGACAACTGTGTTGCCCTTTTTTATTGAGAACACCGACAGCGATACTAATTATTTCCCGCCATTAGGAACAGCGTTTATCGTGCGACTGGACTACGTTCCAGCGGTCATAATGAATCTATTTTGCAAAGCCGTCTTTTCTTGCTCCGAACGTGATACTCCTTAATTGGTTTCTGTTTTCCACAGTAAGATATCTCAGGTACAGATCGATAATTATAAACCTGATCCGATTTTAAAGTACAGCCGTAGATATGTTGCAATGATGATTTACGTTAAATACCTTAGAAAAACGTACCATTAACAAATATATTCATAATTAATCACGTATTGATTCATACTCCATTAGATTTTACTTTTCTTGTCAATTTCTTATGTTCTAAAACATGTCAAACAAATTCTGCGGTTCGCACTCACTTTTAATCGTTTGTTACAATACAATATGTAAGTTGAATCTGATATTTGAGATATTTGCCGTTAAATGTATTATCACGGTAATGCGATTAAAACGACGTGTGCAGCGTCGAACGGCCCTTAGCCCCTGGCAAATCGCACGTACATATACCAATGCAGACAACACGAACGCGACGAGCCTACTCGTGTTGAATGCAGATCGCAGATCTGCCGTGCAATTCAATATGAGTAAAGGAGATCCTCGAGAGGTACGAGCAATTATGACGACTACGATTTCATTACATCATTCCTAAGTGAATCAGCTCTCGCGTGATAAAGTACCGTCCCTGCAATCTACTTCACTTATGCTTGTGTTAAGAGATGGCCATCAATCGACACTGAGATTTTTTAATTATGCCAACTATGGTAATAGTTCGCATTCGATTTATAAGGACATGTATATTGCAAAAAATCACTGTGCGTATTTAATAGTTTGAATAGTAACTGCGATGTTGCTTACGCAATGGGACAACTTTAAATATTTATGATAAAAAGTATAAACAATATAGGTACTATTAATTTTATTAAATATGTTATATTCTGTAATATTTATATATCTTTGCAAATAACGTAATAAATAAATAATAATAAAATTGTTTTGCAAATAATAAATAATGGAGAAACGCAGTATTGAAAAGAATTGTTTATTACATGCAATTACACGTACAATCAAATGATCGGTAGAACTGTACCCAGTACTTACACAAAAGTCCCGGAGCAGGTAATTTCTGAAACGTAACCCGAGACTGTACCCATCGGAGACGTTTAGAAAAGGTCCGTGAGTCGTCCGCATTTATGAGCCGTATGAATATATGTACATACGGTTAGGTATTTCACGGTTTGTATTCCACATTCCACGCGGTGCGTAATCTTTGTCCCTCACGCGATGGACAAGGTGTCCCAGATGGAGAGGGTTGAAGGAGCGCTCTCAATGGGAATCAGAACACGGGATCACCGCGTGTTTTACAATCGGCTCTAGTACTTCTATCGACTTTGTGTTATACCGTTTATGAGAGGCGTATATCATCTTGTCTATCCGAATAAACGGATGCCTCTTGGTTTTACGAGCAATCGAGTGCTCAGACGAATAAATGTGGTATACCTTCTATCAATTTATTTGCTGTATAGTTTTACTTCTCTTGTACTATACGATTGCTAGACTATAATAATTCAACATTGTCCTTGACTTTTAATCATGAGTTATATGGAAGATTCGATAAAACAGATTTAATCCTTGAGAATAGACGGAATAAGTATTATAGTACACTGTATATATCAGGTGTTGTGATTATGATGGTTTATGTTGGATTACAGTACATGAGTTTTTTTACTTTTGTAGAAAATTAAAAATTTTTGGATGTCATTTTAAAGTAATGGCTTCAAGCTTTGATTTAAAATAAAAATCATTGCCCTAAATTATGTCTCAGTACTTATCTTCCAAAGATCAACAATTTTCGACACAAATTTCGTAATGCCATAATTTTTTTTAGTATTCAGAGATGTATTTTTCTCTTACATCATGATTAATCAAGAGCTTAAAGTTACAATCCGTGCGTGCACGTATTTCGATGCGCCAGCGGATGAGTTATGTACGTAGCTTATTAGCCCACGTGCTCCCGTGGCAGAAAAGAAAAAGTTTTGTCCACCAAGTTTGCGTTGAACGAACTCATTCACGGGTACTACGTAGTGCGCTCCTCCTTCAACTACCAGCGCATTATAAAGACGCGGAACCTAGATGCTGTTATTTCTGCGGAAAACATTCATACGCTGTTAGACGTTAGATGAAATTCACATGTCCGGCAGCCGAATTACTTAAAAAAAGACAGAAGTAATCCAGTTATAAAGTACAAAACCGAGGGCGGACGTGGATCTATCGTTCTCTGTTAAAAATCGCCAACGTACCCCGTGTTCCGCGTGCTGACATTAATCCCGTCTGTTTTCTGGGCGGGTGAAGAAGTTAAGAGTAAATTCTCTCTTGGCATGTCAAACATTGTCAGTAGTGAACATTGCGTACGTCGCTGGATCTGAAATCTGCTTTAATTTCTATGTTTATGGTAAGTCTTGATCAGGGTTGCAAATCAATCTTCAATTCAATTAGCAATTAACGTTTATTTTTAATTCAAATTCGATTTATCATTATT